ATGTCATGTGAGGGAATTCCCTCATATACATTGATGTGACACAATCTTCACCAAGTAAATAAAGTAGGAGAGAGGATGCCTCATAACTATACTTAGTGGAGATTGTGTCACATCATTGTATATGAGAAAATCCTCTCATATGACATATGATACCAAAAGATTCAACTAACTAAATAAGTAAGAGAATAACAAGTAAACCAAGCAAACATCCATATAACATAATAAATAATAAGTATTACAGTTTTAAGTTAATATACATGGCTCATTTAGAACAAGCTATCAAGAGAAAAGCATCTCCATCAAGGCTCTTTAAAAATACAATAAAATTTTAACTTATCGATATTAAGCATGCATCACAACATTCGAAAGACAAAAGATTCAACTAACTAAATAAGTAAGAGAATAACAAGTAAACCAAGCAAACATCCATATAACATAATAAATAATAAGTATTACAGTTTTAAGTTAATATACATGGCTCATTTAGAACAAGCTATCAAGAGAAAAGCATCTCCATCAAGGCTCTTTAAAAATACAATAAAATTTTAACTTATCGATATTAAGCATGCATCACAACATTCGAAAGAGGTATGATCTTGAAAAACCTACTTTATAATTCACACAATTAAACCTAATTAAAAATTATCAATATACAGATACACTATTGCACCTTTAAGGCAAAGATAACTACCAGTTATAGTAGACTTGAGTTGTGGCTTTACACTTGTAAAGGTCGCAACAAGAAGGTGGATATAAATATTAATAACAAGTGTTCAAATGATAAATGTTATATAATCTCTGATGACTTAGGATATTACAAAGATAACACTATTTAACGCAGTAGAAACTCTTATTAAGTGCACAATACAAGAATTCATTACAAAGAAAAAAATATGTCAATCCTAACTTAACTTAAGTAATGAATTAGAAATACAGAAAAATTGTCATATATATGAAACTAACATTTGTTCTCATTAACATCTGTTCTCATTCAAATTACTTGTAAAGTTAGATAAAAAGATAAAAGATGAATGAGCTCAAGGAAAATAATAGCATGATAAATCTAGGTCCAGTCTGATGTCACAATCGACGTATGATGAAGACACCACTCCAGAATTACTCTAGGAAAAGATAAAAGTGAAGAAGGCTTGACCTTGACTCAATAAAAAATAAAACAATGTTTTCTTAATATTTTATAGACTAACCTAATTTTTTGAGTAAAAATAGAAATATTTGGAAGAGATTTTTACCAATTTTAAAATATATTTTTATACTTATTTTGTGTATGTTTTTATCATATAAAATTATATTAGAGTTAGCATTAATATTTAGTTTATGGTTTTCGATGAAGTCTATCAATGATTAGGAATAAATTTTATATTTTCTTTTGTGCCATTTAGCCACTTCTAATCAATTGTCTAGGCTTATTGGCTTTAATTATTCCTCTTGCTATTATAATGCTAGTTTTCAAGTATTTTTACATATACAACACAATACTTCCCTAGGTAAAGCTTCCTTTCACGTTAATTTAAAATAACATGAATATCCAAATTGGCTTCATGTTGGTTTTGTGTCAAGTCAATTATCAACATGAAACTTAAAAGTGGGTATAGTCCATTCAAACAAATATTAAAGAAGATAAATAGTCATAATTATTAAATTTTAGAGAAATAAGTGAGCAAAACTATCAAATTGAAATCAAAAAATAAATTTTCGTAAGGAAATAAACTAAAAATAAATAATTATGATATTTAACCATGTGCATGCACGTGCATAAAAACTAGTTAAATAAAAGTCTATGACTTGGCGGATGAAAGGATCGCTAATTTCAAATCTAGTTTTATTAAATATTTCTATCAATTAAAATGATGAGCATTGAATACCAAGAATAAATCATCCCTCCATGAATAAACAATTATTTTAAATTTAAAAAATTTCTCAAGGATCCAAAATATGAGACCAATAGAGAGGACAAGTGAGATGTCCCATTCCTATTGGATAATGAGTTGGCCATCATTAATTATGCCCAACTTATTATCCAATAGGAGGGGGACACCTCACTTGTCCCCTCTATTGGTCTCATATTTTAGGTCCACGTAGAAAAGTTTTTTTAAATTTAAAAGAAAAAAATATTGATAATTGAGAATTAGCTTGTATTTATCTCATATTTTGAAGGAAAAATTCCCCAAGTACCCAAAATATGGGACCAATAGAGGGGACAAGTGAGGTGTCCCCCTCCTATTGGATAATGAGTTGGCTATCATTAATGATGACCAACTCATTATCCAATAAGAAGGGGACACCTCACTTGTCTCTCCTATTAGTCCTATATTCTGGGTCCCCGTAGCAAAGCTCTGTACAAGCTAGCAAAAAGAATATTCAAAAAGAAAGATACTCACAGAAGTCCCAAATATTTCCTTTATTATAAAGTGACCAACTACAAAAGTAACCCAAAATTAACCCCATTGACAAACTCTATATTTATTCCACGTGTCGTCTTAGAGTCGCAATACCGTGAGCCCAAACGTTATCATTGCTTGCGGGTGAGGAAAATCCCCGCGCACTCTCTCTCCCTCTATAACAATATATATTAATATATTAACCCTAACCAACAAAATAAAATCACCTCCTCTTTATTTCAATCACTTTCTCTCTCTTTTGATTCCGTGATCAACAATTCTCTCATCGATCCTAAATAATTTTTTTTCCATTAGGTACGCCTTCCTATTTCGTTATATTCCAAGTTTGATTTGATTCTTGGTAGTTGTTGTTTTCTTTTGATCTGACCATGGTTTTGTTCTCATCATGTATTGGGGATGATAGAAAGAAGGTATCCATGGCCAAGAGTTCCTTCAAGCTCGAGCACCCCCTCGGTTCGTCACCTTTTTCTTTAATTTCAATTTGATTTTGGTTTCTTTTTAGGGTAATTGTTGAAGTTGCGATCTTGGTTCTAGGGTTTGTTTTAGCATGGGGTTTCTCTTATACTCGATCTTGGTTGTTTGTTTTGTTGGATTATCTTTCGAAATTTGCAATCTTTTTTAGGGTTTCTATTAAAATATTTTAGAAATTGCAATCCTGTTAGGTTTTTTGTTAAAACTGGTTAAAGTTGAGAATTTTAGTTGTGGGGTTTGTTTTAGTTGCGGGTTTTCTCTCACAAGAGATCTTGATTGTTCGTCTTGTTGAACTGTTGTTGAAAAGTTGCAATCTTTCCTATCTAGTTAGGAAATATTAGGATTCCTCTGGTTAAAACTGTGGATGGTGAGTCTACGAAAAAGAACTATCATGCAATTTGATTGAATAACCTTTCTATAAACTTATTAGGCAACTTGAGGTTTTATTAGATCGTTGTTTTTTTAAGGGATTGATTTGATTTGATTTTAGGGTTTTTGTTCTTAAAATTGTGATCAGTTGAGTTAGGAGGGGATAATTAAAGTGGAAGGGTTGCTTAATTGTTTGATTCTATTGTTACCTCCTTTTTGTTATTGAATGCGGATTGTTTGTTTAAGTATTGGTTGTTTCTTAATTAGCTCTTCTAAATATTCTACTTTCGTGCGTTTAGATGGAGGACATTACTAATGTGGAGTAGGTATGGACATATAGTACTAATAGAGGAGGTATGCGGCCTTACAGGCTTCCCTGTACTAATCCCATATTGATTCAAGGATCAGATGTATCATGTAAACGCTAGGAAAAACATAAACAATAAGTGTATTATGAAAAACATTTCTAGTTTTTCCCTTTTCAGGGTGATAGGCTTCATTTATTCAATCTATCTTAAGCTTTTGAGTTTTTAGTCTATTATGAAAACATGTCTGGTTTTTCTTTCCTCTATGTATAGAGGTTTTTGTAGCCTTGAGGGAACGTTAGGACAAACTTTTTGGTATATAAGTTTGGGAGCTTGGGGAATTAGGGATACCAACAGTTAGAAGTGTTGTAAGGTTTATGCGAGGGTGAATTTTATTTTATCCAAGATTCCATGTTGAAATATAATTGGGTTCATAATGGTAAAAACCCTATACTTACATCTTTACATTCTACTTGATAGCAGCTTGCTTACTTTTTTTTTCTGTTGCTCATAAATGGAAGTTGAATGTGTGTGCTATTTCATTTTGGTAAATGCATTTCAATGTTTTGAATTATAGTTTGTGCTTGCTGGTCATTTACTTCCTGCAAACGTCGAGGGTGTCTACCCCAAAACAAACAAACCTACCTGCTGGATCTGGTACCGAGAAATTTAACTTTAGACTTTATAAGGAAAAACATAGGCAATAAGTGTATTCATTTTAAGTTCTGTTGTATTTAGGATTGTTCACTTAATTTTGTAGGAATCAGACCTGGTATAACCTTAGTTGGACTCAAAAATAAGAAAATTAGTTTAGCTTCAATTTTTTTGACGAATAGCTTCTTCTGGCAATAACATGGAAATTTCTGGTTTATAGTTCGACTCATGAGGTTTAGGTCATTTAATTTGGTTACAAAGAAGTCACATATGATGTAGCTTGGAGGAATTGGGAAAATTTTTGGATGGTGTCCTGTTAAGATTGACAAAAATAAAGACTTCACTTGGAGGTTGGGTTGTCAGAGTATGATGCAGACAAAAGGTGCTTGCTAGCATAAGTTACTTGCGGTTCTTTGGAAGTAAAACAAATGACTTAGGTGGTTTGTGGGGCTTGATTGTGATATTGTTGCTGCGGATGTCTATTTTTTCCCTGGCACTTTGTTTTATACATTGACAATTTCTTTTGTTAGTATAGTCCATTCAACCATTGACCAATGCAACTCCAAAAATTGGTGATCTTACGTTCTGTAGCTTTTTTTTTTTTGTAATAATGCTGTCAACTATCATGTTTTAGCTATTAAAAAATCTTTATTTTGCAATGCAGAAAGGAGGCAGGCAGAAGCTGCTCGTATTAGGGAGAAGTATCCTGATAGAATTCCTGTAAGTGTTACCACATTGTATTTTATATTGCATAGCTTTTAAATTTGTAAACTAACATGAAGCACAATGCATTATAGGTGATTGTTGAGAAAGCAGACAGGAGCGACATCCCGGAAATTGATAAGAAGAAGTCAGCCCTCGTTTTAGTTTCACTTGTTCCTAGTGCATTATGTTTATTTCGAACAATCGTTCTGTAGATGTCTATCTTTATGCTGAATTCTTTTTGATACTCAAAAGTGGCGTTGCCTCAATTAAATCCAAGGCTATGACTCCGTAATACAGTAATTTGGACCATCTTTATCTGTCACATATTTTTTTATTGATCTTATTTCCTTTTATCCTTTTGTTTCCCCTCTTAGCCGGTAGTGCCAGTCAACCAACTTGTAAAGTCTTAAGATGAATAGAATAGCAATAATACTGTCATTTCAAATATCGGGTATTTTGGAATGTTATTGCTTGGTAACTGTTGAATTTTGTTTCTTATGGTATAGTGAAGTCTGTTCTTTGAAAATCTATCCTAAACCTTTTCGTGTTCTTTCTTCTCGGCCCAAGTATAGGATTCTACTTCCTCGGTTGTATCAATTCTGTCAACTAAGAGTGGTTATTTGATGGTGCAGGTATCTTGTTCCAGCTGATTTAACTGTTGGCCAGTTTGTCTATGTTGTTCGGAAGAGGATCAAGCTAAGTGCTGAAAAGGCTATTTTCATTTTTGTTAAGAACACTTTGCCACCAACAGGTGAGATATAAATCCCCAAATTACAGAAACTCTTCTTTTCTTGTATTATTGAAGTTGCTTTCTTTTGTACCACACATATTCTAAATGAGTTGATTGGGCAGCTGCAATGATGTCTGCAATTTATGAAGAAAACAAGGATGAAGATGGCTTCCTTTACATGACTTACAGCGGAGAGAACACATTTGGGTCATTCTAAGCCAATGGTCACTACTCTCCCTGTGAATAGAAACTTGGGAGAAATTTTATGTATATTCTTCAGTCTCAGGTTTCACAGTCTTCAAGACTGCAAATGTGAAACCGGTAGGTTTCTAGATTTAAGTTGAATTTAATTACTTAAGAACATATTAATACTGCTATTTTCTTTTTTAATACTGCCGTTGTGCTGTGGTGTTCTAGCGAACCATTGATTCTTTTAAGTTTATGCTGTGTGTTCTTCAATCTCATGCTTCTGTTTTTTGGGTTTCAGTCTTTTCAAGACTGCAAATGTGAAACCAGTAGGTCTTTGGGTTGAAGTTGAATTTAAATATTGAAGTACATATTAGTACTGCTAGTACTGGTGTTGTCTACTTGAATGCTGTAGTTTTGCTGTGATGTTCTTGTGTATCATTTATTCTTAAGTTTCTTTTGTCTGATAATTGTGAATCTCTGCTTTCAGTTCTATTCTGGAGTTTTGATTCAGTGAGAGCTATTCTGTTGTAGGCTTTTTACATGAAAACCAGTCTAAGCTTTTATCCAAATTGCAGCTTATCACCTTAACTTCTGATTCAATGAGCTATTTCATTGTAGGATCTATGAAAACCACCTACGGTTGCTAACATGTTCTCAATGTCTTACTTTTTGATATTATTTGTTTAAAGGAATTTTCAAAGTTCCTATTATACCCTAATCTAAAGCAAGAAGGAAAAAAATAGAAGAGGAGGAGAGGCAGGGGAGAGGGGGAGGAGGTTAGTGGTGATGGAGTTGGTGGTGGGTGAGGAGGGGAGGAGGTTGATGGCGAGTGGAAGGGGGAGGAGAGGAGAGAAAAGTTTAGGGTTTAGAGAAACCGGGAGGGGATAGGGGGAGGAGAGGAGGACAAAGTTTAGGGTTTAGAGAAATTGGAGATGGTGGAGGAGGACGGGAGGACGGGGAAGGAGAGAAGAGATGGAAGTGGGGAGGTGGAGGGGAATGTTGGTGGAGGGGGACAAGCGGAAGGAAGAGGTTAGGGTTTAGAGAAATCCTAGAGGTCAATATGGTGGAGGAATATGGGGAGAGGGACAGGGAGAGGAGAGGAGAGGAAGGAGGTGGAGGATGGGGAGGGGGAAAAGGGTGGGAAGGGAGGAGGTGAAGAAAGGAGAGGGATAAACTAAGTAATTTTGAATTTCTTGGTGGAAAATGTGTTATGTTGAAAACATGTTAGCAAATATAGGTGGTTTCTATTAGAAAAAGTGTGGTAAGTTGTATTTTGAATAAAGTTAAGATAGTTTTCATATAAAAACCCTTCATTGTATTTGTTTAAAGAGAAGCATGCTTCTAAGGGAAGTTGGCTACAATGATTTACAGTGATTTGTTTGGAGGTCTTGTTCTGCTACGGAAGAATTTTGATAAGCACTCTGCACTGTTCACAGTGTTGTAAAATAACTTACATTTTACATTATGATTTTGTGAAGGTCCAAAAGGCTAATGATTTTGTGAAGGTCCAAAGGGCATTAGCCTTGAGATTCGAACAATTTAGAGCGAATTAGATACATTCTGTGACTTAAAATTTTTTCCACATTGTGGACCATGCTTATGCAATCCATCGAACCACTTTTTGGCTTTATTTATTCCAGTAAACATCAAGAAATCCCGAACATATGAAAATAAAACTTGAATATCAAGCTGAGGACAAGGGAAAAGGAACTATGCTTAAGCAAATAGAGAGGAAACTATAACATGAGAAGCAGGAACTTGTGTGAAGTTGAAAATTGTTTCCACTATGAACCATCTTAATTAATTAATCATGGAAAAAGACTAGAATGAGTGAATTAAGCTGGTAAGTTGAAACTGGGTTGTTATGTAATAAACTTATGATCACGCTTAAGATTGAAGAGATCATGCCATAAAGTAGTAAAAAAAAGAACAATTTTTCAAAACAGCCCCATTTAAATTTTTATTTTTCAAAATCGACCCTTTTTTTTATTTACCAAAACCGACCCGTTTTTTTTATTAGTAGCCTTAATCACCTTCCTAAATAGTCGGGGTTGTCAACCCCGACTATTTAGGACATAAATTTTTAGGGTTTAAGGCTTCTAATTAGGGTTTAACACCCTCCTAAATAGTCAGGGTTGACAACCCCGACTATTTAGGAGGGTGATTAAGCTGTTAATCAAAAAACGGGTCGGTTTTGATAAATAAAAAAACAGGGCCGATTTTAAAAAATAAAAATCTGTTTGGGGCTGTTTTGAAAAATTGTTCGTATAAAAAACCTTCTATCAAAAACTTGAGATTACCCCTCTATTCTTAATTATTCCTCTCCTGGCCTTGTTTAAGGAAATGCCGTAAATTGTTTGTCATTGGGGCACAGAGAACATGAAAACAAATAACGCAACATTGTCGTACATGCTCATAGTATTGCACTACATCTCAGTAGATTATATGGCTATAAAAATTCTAATTTTAAGTTAATATCTCGCTTAAGATATGTCAGTATCTAAATTGTTCTAATAGTATCTAATTTTTTCATAAATTTCTTAATCATTGGAGATATTGTAAGTAACAGAAATGATTTTTTTTTTTTTTTTTTTTTTTTTTTTTTTGACAGATAATAAGATAACTGCTCCACAATTGAGTATAATGATAATCTCTATAAGCTCTTGCTGTAACCATAAAACACAAGAGTGAAAACACGGAGGGGAAAAAAAATAAAAATAAAGTAGAGAACCATAACTTGTGTGTACAATTTCTTTTTAAATTCTCAAACGATGCTTGAAAATCAACCAATGCCAAAGTCCATACATTAAAAGGCCAACAATTAGCTCACTGTGATCCTTTCCATTCTCAGAAATGGTCACTCTAAGATAGTTTAAGGGTGTTGCGAGAGACACCCCATAGTTTATGTGAACTCTCAAAATTTGGGGTGTTTTATGAAATCTAACAGATATTTTCCATACAGCTGCGTCCAATCCTTCAATTATCTTCTTCCTTAATTTGATTCTCTCTTCTTTCTTACGTTGTGTTTGGGAGTTTACTAGAGAAAGGTAACGGAAAATAAAATAGAAAAAGTGAAAGTAGAGAAAGGGACAGAAAATATATAATACCATATTTGAGAGTTTAGTAAAGAGAATAGAGTAAATATATAATCAAATCACAGCTGTGAATCCACAGTGATTGTTATAGCCATTTGGTGATGAGAAATAATTTCCAATCAACGGCAGACAAGTGTCCTACATTAGGAATAATCAGGTCCGCATTTCAAGATGATCAGAAGCCCAATTCGGTCGACTTGACAAGCCGACATCTTGCGAAGTCGACTCGAAAGGCGTCACATGTCGACGACCCGAAAGACAATGTGTTGTCCCCTGGCTGAGTCAACTGCTTAACCACTCCACTTGGCCGCCAATCGGCCGACACCTTGTGAGGCGACTCAAAAGGTTGTACTTCTCGACCACCAAACGGGTAAAAGGCGAAGAAACGCCTCGAGCCTTGAGCCCCCTTATGTGCACTGGTGACCAATCAACTCGTAATAAATGTCATTAAATGCATTATGAGCGTCATCATTCCTCGGCCACTAATAGTCTTTATAACATATCGGACCATATCGGCATTGTACACCTACAATCACTTCGTATTTAACATCGAAGTGACCTCTCCTCCACTAGTCGGCCGACACCTGTAAAACTAAGACTGGCGTAGCTGCTATACCATACTCAGCCGAAGTTACCATTCTACCCTCCTGGCACTACTATAAAAAGAGATACCATTTTCAATTGCAGGGTAAGCTTTTTACTACTGCTCTCTGAGCTTAAGAACTATCGTAGTTCCTTTAACTTCTCCACTCAAGCAAATCACTGACTTGATCGTCGGAGGAACAACTGGGAACCAGATCCC